CCACCCCAACAAAGTCTCCAGGACCACAAGGCGGCACATTCCAGCTCTGGACCCCTCCGGCCACGAGGCCAGCGCCTCCAAACCCAGACATCTGTGTCAGAGCCACCATCACGCTGGGACAGCTCCTCGCTGAGAGCTGGCTACGAAGTCCTGTAACCTGTTTGGTTTGATGCTCGCTGCAGTGACACTGAGCTCATACCACTCTCTGAAACTCACTCCCTCCTGCTCCCTGACTTTCTATCGCTCTGCTTCATGTGTGACACGTGCAGGAGCTAGACCTGGTTTCCTTCCATCTCATGATGTTTAACAGAAATCCAGTGTGTTCTCCTCCACTAGGGCACAGATGCACCGGCACACGTCCTCGTCCCAAACCATACAAACACTCACGGTGGGGGGAGGCAGCTGAATAAATCCGACTGCAGCCTTAAAGTGACGACCCCCAACCCCCCTCCTCAATGACTCCATTTCAAAACAATAGCTGGAAGGCGGGGGCTGCCACAACAGACGAGTGTGCTCGCCGACAACTCACCGTTGTTCTCTTTCGGATGGCAGCGTGAGCTTTAGCCTCGCTCATCAAGTTTGCTTTAAGAGCTGCAGTGGAGCTGCTGCACCAGACGGGGTCAGCAGAGGCTCCTAGTAGCTGCGAAACTGAACCCAAGTGAAAAGCAGCTTCAGGAAAGAGCTCTTCAGGCAGGACTTTACTGAGGGATCTCAATGAGTTCATTGTTATGAGTGAAATCATCTGGAAGCTTCCATTTGATAAAGATATTCTATTGTTGTCTCTCATTACATGTCTAATATGAACTGTCTATTGCACATACATGCTGCTGGCCTTCACTTTTAAAGCTTTTTACTCCATTTCTGTTTTCCTGTATGCTGTTGTTGTTTTAGTGGCAAGTTCAACATCTGGCCAAGGGGCAATAGTTGAAAATGATTAATGTGCTGATTAATGTGCACTTTGCCTGAAAAAAAACAAACAAACTGGTTTTGTAAAGGCACGAACAACGCTCTAAAGTTGTCTGAAATATGTCTCATAGCTCCGAGCCGTGTGTCATCTAGCAAACGTAACTGTCATTTCGGACAAATGCTAAGTAACCAAAGTTAATAACTGTTTTTATTATGGATTATCGCCTTAATTGATTAATTGTTTCATCTCCAAAGTATTTGGAAAATGTGATATCAATGTCATTGGCAATGTTTTTGAGACAGATGTTTTCTGTTTGCTTGTTTTGTCCAACAAACAGTTCAAAATCAAAACACTTCAAGTTACGACAAAGAAAAGCAGAAAATTCTGTGACTTGAGAAAACCAAGAGAAAATCTGGCTTCTTGCTTGAAAAATAAACCAGCTGCCAATTCATCCTCTGACCAACCAACTCGTCCATTAACAGACGGTTGCAGCTCGAAAGTGAACCTTGAAATGTTGCATGTTTTGGTAAACGGTTCAGAGAACTGAAAGTGGATCCTCTATTTAACTTTCTGAGAAAGGTCAAAACGACTGCATGACCCAGCAACTCACCGAGTCGGCCCCTCAACGCTCCGCTCAACTAATGATCGCCCTCTGAAAACAAAGAACGCAGTATTTTTGCAAGAGGGCGTTCGCCACAGTGGACCTGTGACCTCATGTTTATCTATCAGGTGAGATCAATCAGATCAAATCCAGTTTTTCCACAGAAACATCCACTGTGCAGAAAAACGATAAGACAAGCAGAATTTAACCAGAACAGTGATTGGTGAGATTAACTTATTCCAGAACTACGTCTTTGTCGAGTATTTATATGTTAAGTTGAAAAAAATCTTTCTGTATAAATATATCCTGTTACAACGTGGACACCTGCAGCTTATAGACAAGTGCGGCCTGTATATGTACAAAACTTGTTTTCTTTTTAAAGTTAGTGGGTGTGGCTTATATTCAGGTGCGCTCAATAGTCTGGAATTTACGGTACTATGACATCCACCAATATGAAAACCATTTTTTTTTCATATTGTTAAAAAACAACAACAAAAAAGGTGCATGGGGGAATTATAAATGGTGTCAACACATAGTTTGTCAAGCAAAGAGGCACCAGTTACATTGTTTCCAACAGTTTCAAAAGTGTGCAGCACATGTAGCAGAGCAGACAGCGGTGCTGAGTCAAGCAGTGTCTTCAACCTGCTAACGTGTTTGTGATAAACATTTCTAGAAAATTAATAAATAATAACTCCATCCTGTTCTTCTCTTAATATAAACCTAACTATGCACTGTATGTGCATACTGTGTATAAGGATATCGGGCGATATATTTACATCGGAATGTTTTTACTCCCTAAAAATCCCATCAGCCTCAAAAACCCAGCATTGGTCAGGCTTTAGATTTTACATTAAAAATGACTGAGGCTGTTGGTTAATTACCAAATTTGCAGAAATGTGAAAACAACTCAGCAAACTGAGGACGATAATGTGAAATGACCAAAAGCCTCACACCAAACTACTAAATGGAGACGAGCATAATCACCACATATCAGACGTTCTTCCTGTGTTTTTACATTACAGTGTTTCAAGCTGAACAGTATTTGCAGTGTAATCTTCCAGTGTTTACTTCCTCGGCTTCTTGCTCACATTTATCTTTCACTAGTACACACGGTGTCAGGATAATTATAATTCACATGCCAAGATGTGTGAAACTATGAGCCTACATGCTGTCAACACGCTAACCATGATCCAACAAACAACCTGAAACCTGAGTATTACAAAAGAGAAACAAGTTGCATAATCCGAGACGAGCGCTCGGTATTTAGTGATGCACACTTGAAATTCCCCATAAAGACTTAAATTTGCATACCGGACTAAAATAGTCACAAAGGAAAGAATCTTGACGAACTGCTTCCATCCTTATTGTATTGCAAAGCTTCAAACAATGGCGACAATTGCAGGATGCTGGAAGCATGTTAATTTGTGTTTCTGAACGAAGTGAATATTTTGGATGCTGTATTGTCGGGACGTGTTGTCTACATCAGGGAAGGTCTACAAATACACAATGGAGACTAAACATAATAAGACAGGCTTCAGGGAGGTTTTATTTGTCCAGCACTAAATCAAAGTCATGAGTAGGTGTGTCTGCTGCCACCAAGCTTCCTCATAAACAGGCCAGAGGAACTGTCCCACTCGCACCCTCGCCTGTTGCATAATCGCTAGACTGGCGCACAAGCAACTCCTCATCCAGCGTATGTCCCCCCATGCGGTTTACTGGAAGCCACCCAGCCTGTCCTCCCCGAAGACATGGACAACTGGAGTAGACGTCTTGGCGGATAAACCGGATGACAGGGAGCATGAGAAGTAGTCGCGTCCCTCAGGGGCTTAATACAAGCAAGGATAACATCTGACTTCTTGAGACAGCGGATGAACTTTATCCATCACTGTTAATTTAAGCAGTTTATGGAAGGCCTCATTATTTTAAGCAGTCTGGGGGCTAAAATAACCGCCAGCGGGGATGTTTGGTCGTGTTTGTCGAGCCACCTTTGCAGCTCCCGACGAAACGATAAAGAGCCACAGTGACCATCAGACTCCATATGCAAACAGTGGGAGATTCAAGGCAGGGGTCCTTAAATAATCACTTCCAAAATGTCCTTCAAGTAAAACCAGATCTTCAGCACGAACCGCGATGCCTCGATATCGAATTTCACCGCTTGTTCTTTGCCTCGGCGATCTGGGCCCGTGCCACTGGTTTGGTTCAATCTGGATTAAGACCCGACTGGAATGTGTTAAAAGTAATAGTGTTACTTCTGAGGCTTTAATGGGAAAATCCTGGCACCTCACCGTTAACAAGCCTCTGTATTCAGCAGGGCATTTATCACAGGATCAAGGACTTAGCCTCATTTGGGCTTCCTCTCTGAAGTTGAGGGTTTGGGTCAGACAAATGCCGTTAGGCACTATACTGTAAAAACACTGGACCTAATGCATGTGGCTTCCGTCTAAGTTTAGAGAAAGCTTCGGCGTCAATCATGACTTTACACTACACACAGCAGAAATAGCTTAAATGTTATCATAAACAGATTTGTGTGTCAACTTTGTCAAAACTGTGTTTAGCACTGAAACAATGAGTTGATTATTCAATTATGCAATCAAGAAGCGAATCGGCAGGTCAAAGAAAAAAGCTACAAATCTATTCACTCCAGCTTCTCCAACATGCCGATTCTTGTCGTAAACCATTATTAAAAAACCCTTGAAATATTTGATGGTTTTGGATTGTTGCTCAGACATAATACATTTCTATTCATAAGGCTTGGGAGTGGCAAAATGGAACAGGCATTGTCAAGATTTTCAAGACACTGAGATTCATCAATAAATTAAGATTTTTTTCAAACAAAATAAAAATAATCATTAGTTGCAACCCTAATTGAGTTATAGGCTGAATGCACAACTCGCTACCTCCCTTCATCGGCTACTGTTGGGGTGACTATGTATATGCAATCTGATCCTCTGCTGGACCAGTGGGTATTTTTAATGGTGAACTGTAGACGCCTGTGGTTACATTAGGTGTCTCTCTGGCGTGAATGTCTTCAACTGACTGAGTTTTGAGGTAAGATGGCATTGAAAAGGTCCTTGTGCGCTCAGCAAACTTTCCCCGGATAAATAAAGGTCAAATGTCAGCATGGTTTCCAAAGATAAAGTTGACAGAATGAAAACGTTGCCACCGTACAGTACTGTCATTGAGACATGTGGTGCGTTATGTAAGCGGTAAAAATCTTTGATGATTACGATCGCCATCCATCAATTCCTGCCTGCGTCTAAACAGGCTTGTTAGGTCTGAGATCAGAGCTCTGCACAATGTCAGGTTATGTCATATCCATAAAGGCTCTGCAGTTAGTGATTTCGCTGGAGGGGGGGCTCCCATACAACCGCCGAGTAATCCCTTCAAAATTGTGTACTTACTGAAGAGAAAGACCCTGCCGCTGAATTGGGCTGGGTCCTTTGAGGATATGTCAGACGGTCTGTTAGTGTTTAAGATGTGTTTTTATATGTGTGGGGGGGGGTGTTTTTCATTTGTATGGAGGGCAGGTGACGACAACAGAGTCGTTGTCAAGGAAGTGGGCCTATGGATAAAATCAAAGTTTTAACAAATGCGGAATATGTTTGTAGATAGTTTATGTAAGGCCCACCACAAAAAATTGCGACCAAGAGAGTAGCTCGCTGGCACTGTTCTCTCCGATCAGCACAGCAAGAGTCAAACTGCAGCTTTCCCACGTTCAACTTTCCTCCTCCTGCTCCTCGCCCCAATAATGAATGTTTGTTTCTGTGTCATAAACAGTGGCCGCATACCTGGTCTGGATCAAATAACTCTCTGTGGCCGAGTCTGGGGCCACTGATCAGGTGTGCTTAGACCAAATATAAATCTGTCTTTTCTTTATTGTCCACAATAATAAAGTTGATCATTGTGGAAAGACGGCCGTAAAAGGGCCGCCGCAGCTGCCGCTCTGCTTGGGACCAATCGCAGCCTTACAATAAATCCATTCAGCGGACCAACAGATCGCTTGGCTGGAATGTTTACAGATGCAGAGTGCAACTTGTAATCTAGTTAGGCGAAAATAAACTCATCTTCGCAGTCGAGAGATGAGTCGTTACGAGGAGATTGAAGCGGAGCTGTGCGGGATCACATGTGGGTCACTGGGAGAGTTATGAAATGATATTCATAAATACTTTCAAAACTACTGCGAAAATGGTCAAAGGCAGTGCACAAATTTTGTCCTGTAGAGGTGCTATGAACAATTATTAATTAGGAATGAATCCTTTAGATTTGTTAAAATGAACAGTGTGATGTTTTTTGTATTTTTTCGCCATTTTTTCTACACTGAGATAGTGTTGGGGCCACGTGCAGGTAAATTATATGCAACAAAGATACAGCCAGCCGAGAATCGAACCAGGGACTCCTTGCTGATGGTTTTTATTGACATGCTTTGTGTGTCTGAAACACTCAGCTATCAGGTTACCTGATTTTCTCATTAAACTTATTGATAGATTGTTCTGTAACATCCATCCATCCATTATCTCTACCCCACTTAATCCTCATTAGGGTCGTGGGGGGGCTGGAGTCTATCCCAGCTGACTCAGGGTGAAGGCAGGGGACACCCTGGACAGGTCACCAGTCCATCACAGGGCTACACTTAGAGACAGACAACCAAGCACACTCACATTCACACCTACAGACAATTTAGAATCACCAATTAACCTCAACATGTTTTTGGACCTTGTGGGAGGAAGCCGGAGAACCCGGAGAGAACCCACGCTGTACGGGGAGAACATGCAAACTCCACGCAGAAAGATCCCAGATGTCCTCACTGGGACGCAAACTGGCGACCTTCTTGCTGCAAGGCAACAGTGCTAACCACCGATCCACCTTGCAGCCCTTCTGTAAAGTCAGTGATTTACAAAATAAAATAACTGTAAATATCTCAACTGTCCTCAAATGTCTTCCAAAGACCAAAGGTGTCCAGTTTACTGTCACAAATGACAACATAAACCAGAAAATATTCAAATTTCAGAACCAGAAAGTGTTGCATGTTTTGTTAAAAAACAAAAAAAATATATGACTTGTAGGTTTCAGAAAATTTCTATTCAGTTGTTTTTTTTTCCCTTACAAAGTCAAACTGTTTTTACACATTCACTGTAAGAGCCGATCAGTTCTATAGGTTCCTCCAGTCAGGTGTTCTGCGTTCCAAGTAAACAGTGTTTTGACCGTGATGCTGCAGTAGTTGCTGTGCTTCTGTAATTTACTGTTAGTTGTGTATTATACAAAATGTGCTCCAGCGTAATTGACCCTACGAAGGGAGAAGGAAAATAAACAGCCTAAGTGTTCGACTCAGAGTTCTGTCTTGGACTTTGATTCCTCCCAGTGGTTGAAAGTGCTGGTTTCCACATTCACAAATTTAAATTTCTCTTACCAGAGGTTTCCATACAGCTATAAACAATCTCTGGTTATAAAATTCATTCGGTATATTATTCCACAAGCTCTGAATCATTTTTGGCCCTTATTTTAGCCCGTGGAGCAGCAGCAGCAGCAGCAGCAGCAGATGTGGCACTGCAAAGACAAACAGGCAAGAATGTGTTGATGCCCACAGTGTGCAGCAGAACCTTGCGCAAAATACTGCGGATGAGGAGGCACACTGCCCGACTGAGGTTTTTACATTTTTCACAAAGCAATCATTTTCAGGAATGCTCCTTTATGCCCTCGAACCGTTCGTGAGCAATCCCCTTGACTTCCAACAAGTCCGACCTTGCAGGAGAGCTGGCTCAAGACAAAGGGAGGTAGAATGAGGCATCTCTCTAAGATTTACCTGCGGTTAGTTGAAAAGTTTTGCATAAAGCCGTACTGTTACTCACTGAGGCCTGGAGGCAAACATGAGCTGGCTGAGGAACAAACGGGAGCTCTAAGTCTTTTACCGGTTGTGACGACACACGCTTGCTCAACTGCTACTGTTGTTCTATGTAAACATTTCATCTGACTTGCTTTAAAGGATATGGTCATGTGGACGATCTCATGTTCACAGCAGTGTGTTACATTTTCTAGATCAACAAAACAACTACTTCTGCTTGTTCTACTTACTGTCATTGTTAAGTGTGCTGACAAACGATGTCATTCATCATGCTGTGATTTACGTTATTTCTATTAAATGTGACTAATCGTTTTGATCGACACTGTGAAAGAACTGGAGCCAAACCTAGTCTCAGGGCGAAAGGTAAACAAACTGAACATACATTAACGACGCTCCAAAAATCTGTCAAGTGCGACTTTCATCTGGTTGCGCAATGCAAGTTTATCTGTGTTTCTCTGCCCAGGTAGATAAAATCACTCAGTTTCAGTTTAATCTAATGTTACATAACAACACCTGACCAGTGTGCTTCAGCAACCGAGTGGGGACTAGCGGCCTCCCTGTGCACACCTACTATTGCTAATGCATGTGAGCTGCTTAGGGGACATCTGTATACTGCAGATTCAGAAAACAATCTGAGCTAAACTTTTCGCCTCTAAACTGCACAAATCTTTGCACTAAAACAAGTAAATTCTCAAACTGTGGGAAACACCGACATACGAGTTGTGTCAGAAAAGTTCCAGGACTGGTGTCGCAGAAGATATATTTCAAACCCAAACTACCAGTTTTCCCCTTCAGACAATCAACCAGCACGTCTACAAAGAGATCCTGTGGCGTTTGCTTTGCGAGAAGAGGTGAGAGTTGTGGCAGGACAAGTGGTGGCTGCTTCACCATGACAACGCGCCTGCTCACAACGCCCTGAGCATCCCACAGTTCGTGGCTGAGAAGAACATCTCCGTGCTGGAGCAAACCTCCCTACTCACCCCACCTGGCTCTGTGGGATTGTTTCCTCTTCTCCAAGCTCAAGGGGGTCATCAAGGGAACCCATTTAGAAGACGGTTGTGACGACGGAGCTGTGGAGGAGAATCCTTCCAGGAGTGCATGGCGGCGTGGCAGAAAAGGCTGGGGAAGTGTGTTAGACTACAGGGAGATTAATTCAAAGGGGAAAACTCGCAGGTTTGTAGTTTGGATTTGAAATATATCTTTTGTGACACCAGTCCTGAAACTTTTCTGACACACCTCGTGTGATAAAATGGCCAATGCTACGTATTGCATTTAATGTAAGCCCAGAACATTTATCTGCACCTTCATCCCTGTTTACACAATGTGTTAAGCAATTACCAATTTGAGCAGGCTTACGATGTGTTAACGGCACCAAAAGGCCCAGTGAAAAAAATCTTGACTTAATTATTTGCTGGCGCACCTATAAAAAAACGTTTGGCGCATTGGAAGAGGAAAATGTTAGTTTTGTGGTGCTTAATTGCACCATCTGCCTAAAAAGAGGATGTTGGATGAAGGATTAGTTCAAGACCTGCCATCCAAAAGCTTGATGATGAACTTTATGTAGATCAGAGGCCACTTGTGTAACACTGACACTGCAGACTAAACTAGGCTCAATTTAGCTGGTTAAGTAACTGGGAAACTTAGAACGCCCAAAGGTAAACCTAAGATCCCTTCGCCCTTAGGAATAAATGGTTTGCTGACATGTCAAATCAACCACATCAAAGACGTGAAGGAAAAATACTCATTTTAATCAATGTTTGTTTGCCGGTGTGTTGGCAGCCTCAATGAGAGCGTAAATGAAAACAACAACTATTTGTGGCTAATGCAAACCACAGACATGCTCAACTTCCAGTAACAACCAACAGGCATTTCTCTATGGAACTGATTACTCAACAGGTACCAACAGGTTTAATATTACTTAAAAATTCATTGATTATTTACAAATGGGTTCAAGTAGACAAACTCGATGGTGTTTGTGAAGTTGGCTATACATATAGGCAAATGTTGTTTTTTTTTAATGTGTTTATTTGTTTTTTGTGATTTTGTGACAAATTCCATTTTTAATATTTTTTTATGGTTGTTTTCTAAATTTTGAGGCAGTGTGTCGATAGCACCAACAGTTCCTGTCTGCGTGACGACTTTATATTTGCTGTTGTATTTTACGCAACAAAAAGACAAAGCATTAAAAATGCTCATTGCAACATCCTACGACCCACGGCAAAGTCGTTGAATCACTTGTGTTGTCTGAGGGGGAAGTTTGTCGGAGAAGCTGGAGCCAGTGAACTTTATGCCTTCAAAAAATGACTTAAAACGGCTATCAAAGTCGTTTTCAGTCAGCTAATTTGCGGTGGTGAGGTCGACGTGAAGACATGGGAAACCTTTGGCTTTGAATTGACCCATGAAGATAATTTGATTTAGTTCAAAGCGTTGAACACCAAAACAGCCATGGCAGATTAGTAACAAGTACAGCTCAAGCTCTCGTGTTAATGTCTTTGGATTTGGGGTGAGTTCTTAAAAGCTGAGAATGAATTTTAAAAACACTCTTCTAGGAACCAATGAATCCGTCAGTTCCTCATACAACAGATTTTAGAGAATATGACATTATATAACACCACCTCTGCCCTGTTATCTCTGTGTGATCTGCTATTTGCAGTACTAGAGCACACTTTGCCGCATTCATCGTAGGGGGAAAAGAAACCTGAGCGCTGGATCCTCGTGACTGGCAGAACGTAGACACTCAAAGTGTCACAGAGCAGTGAAATGCTGCCAGATCCAGACAGCCCGGATGCTTCTTCCAGTGCCATGCTCTCTGCATGCTTTACACACTCACAGCCGCCGAAATGTCCAGCTTGACAAGATGTTTAGTTTAGTAGCAGGTCACCAAATGACATTTGTCCTTTTAACAAGGCTGCCAGTTGTGTGAAATTCATTCGTGTGAGTATTTCAATACAACAATGTTCATGTTTTGAGTACATTTAATTCTTTCCCTCAGCATTTTGTCTTTATCTTAAATGCACAACATGCACAAAAAATATGATACTGAGGTTATAAAATGCATAAAAGCTGTGCTGATATGGTCAGATAGGAAACCTTGCTGACTTTTGAGCTTAACTTGCAAACAATGTTAATTTTGATCCAATAACTGAAATGTTGTCCTGCCATTTGTTAAAAAAATAAAATAAATCCAAACCAAATTCCACTCCATTGGAAACTGACAACAGTGCCTTGCGTTAATAGTAGTTACTGACATGTTTTCAGAAAACCGACACTTCAGGACTCCATAAACAGCTAAATGGCTTGTTAAGTTGGACACCGTGCTGCAAGGTGCAAAGAGTTTCAAGGGGTGCAGGGTCTGGTTTAGCCAGCCAGGCCAGGCCACACACACATGTAAACACACCCGAGCTTCATACCTATCGTTGACGGGCTTTGACCCTCGTAATCTGCTAGGCCGGAAAGCCTGGTAGAAAGCAGTGGACGGGTTCCTGCATTTTAATGGAGGAGGAAACAGAGACAGGAGAAACATGAGAAAAGGAAGAGATACTCGTACACTGGGCGAGAGAGAGAGAATGTGAATGAGAGAGCAGACGAGGATCCTGAACCACACCGAGAGGAAATGGTGATACAGTACACATCGCCCAGCTCTACCCCGAAATGACACGATGTAGGAAGACCAAGAGCGTTATAGGAGCGTAAACTAACAACTGTCAGCATGAAAGGTTTTGCTGTGGGGTGTGAAAATAACATCCGCGTAGTTTGCCTGCAGTTTAAACAAGTGTTCCTGCTGGACTCTTCAAAAACAAAACTGTACTAGAGAAGTAGTACAGAAAGTTGTTTTTGAAATACAACAGTCTTAAGGTCATTCACGCCATAAATTAACACCCAATCTGCTGAAACTTTAAAGCATACGATCACTTTTAGCCGTAACCATCATGTAGTCTGATGTTTAATGATCCATTTGTAACTCAACACAACATACCGACACACTCTGAATCATCCGTTTTGCGTGATGAAGTTAATCTCCAGTAACCAACGTTAAAGGTGATCACCAATCAGGGATGATCTGGACAAGAAGTTCCTTTGTTGTCTCCCATCAACTGTTAACCATTTTGAATGTGCTACTGCTCTATTACGACTTGGCAGAACTGATTTGTAGAATGGAAAGTGAACTTCAAACAGGGGGCAGCTTTCCTGACGCAGCAGCTGAGGGGCAGATAAAATTACCAGCCGCATTAAATATTTATCAGCATTCAGGTAACTGCTGGCACATGGTGTTAATAATACACCGAGTACACAATAACACCAAGTCTCACTGCAAATCTCAGCGTAGATATCAGAAGTTAAAAACAATCCGATGACAGTAATGCAGTCTGAGTCGTCATTATCATCGCCCACGTTGTCCTGTCTCCTAATGAAGATAAGGGTCGGCGCTGCTTTATTGAAGTTAGTGTACCATCGTTATTCTACTGTTTCAATTTAATTTTGCTTAGGTTAACAGCAGTGTCTTTAAAAAAAAAAAAAAAACAAAGAAAAGTTAACGAATCAAACGTGACCATACAAATGCTGAGGTTCATGTCAGTCACCCTCCTGTTTGCACCCGCAACATAAAACTTTCAATAGGAGCCCACAAGAAGAGCAGGGGTGGTCGACAAAACTGTAAACTGAACAGCTTCGATGTATACAGGACCCAGGAGGATGGAGAAGACAAAAGCAGGCGGGGAAAGGAATTCACTTTCAAAACTAGAAAAATGGGGTTAGCCATCCACTACTGTACTGGTGACTGTCAAGCCTGATTTACCACCACGTTTCCACATCTGAGCCCATGACAGATTTATTTCTGCCACACCCCAACAAACAGCACCTCAAGACCTTCGAGTTTCCTGAAGCACTGGTGAGGTATTTAGACACCGTGAGCTTCAAGAGTTCACAAACAACATACTTCAATCCGGCAGCTGTGACCTCAGCGCTCCGAGCGAGCCAAAATACCTTGTTTTATTGGGACGAGGAGAATTTTGTATGAAGGATGAGTTTATTGGGCCGAAGAGAAGACAAGCGAGCGGTTGAGTGACAGGCAGCAATTTAAAAGCAAGGAAGTAGAGATGGAAGTGGAGAGGAAAAAGTCAGGGAAAACTGGGAATTGTGGCGCTTCACCTCACCTGAACCCCCTCGAGGGGCCTCATGTAGTGCAGCAAGAAGAGATGTCTTTACAAGAGCTTTATGTAGTGCACAGTACACAGCCCCGTAAAGCCCACTTTAAAGACCCAGCATGTGGGTTTGTTTGGCCTTTCTCTGTATTACTAGTCTGGTGCTGCTGTGCACAACATAGTCTATACTATACATACTTCTGGAATATGCAAAATACATCATTAATCACATTTTTCACACAATGTGTTTGCCATTGTATGTACGATATTACTTTATTTCTGTATACTGTTGTATGTGAAGGTGATTTGCTTTGTGTGTAGAACTTTAGGCACAATATTAAGTCTGTTTTCAAAGCTTTCTCTACTTTTTGCTTCTTTTTTTCTTGTGGGATGAAGCCAGGTGCAAGGAGACAGCTATTCTTTGGCTTAACTACAACTGTCGTTGCATATGGAACCAGTGAGCCACAGTTTGTCGTTAGCGTGTACACTTGAGTCACAGCGCTGATGTACCCTATAAATCATCAGAGCCTCCAGCTTAAAGCTCTTAAAAGCACTCATGAAAAAAATTCCTTTACGTTTAAGAAGACGCTTTTAAAATGTTTCTTTTACTGATAATTAACAATCATTTTAAATGATGAATATGTTGAAAAGTAACCAGGAAGACTTAGAAGTTTAAACCACATTCATGTGTTTATCAAGATGCACAGGTGATGATTATAATGTTAACACAGCAATGAAAAACACACACAGGGTGGCTGTCCTGGACCAGGTCCAGGTATCACTGCACAGGAACCCTGCACCAACAGTGTTCCTATTGCTACTATAATGAAGTGTCTATCACACGCACATATCACTGTCACTTTAACAACCAGGCCTAAGCCATAGTCACACATGCAAAGTATGTGTGAAGGTGATCCATACTGCAGCTGTTGTATGCAGACACATTAATTAAAGCTGACGTACAACAGTTCTGATGGATCGACGACATAAAACTAGATATAATGTTAAAACGAGAAAATGATTAGTTCAGCAACTGAAAATGATTCAACACAAATCCAGATAAGGCATTTAAATCTTTGAAGCAAAGATGTCAAACTTCCACTGGTTCAGGCTTTGCAGATGTTAGGATCAAATATAATTGAATATCTTTGGGGTTTGAGGTACGACTGGGACCATAACAGATATCTCAATATGTCACGTTGGTAGCAACCTTTGAATATTTTCTGGCATTTCCTGTAGACAAAGCAGTTACTGAAGGGAATAATACGCAGCATAAACATAATTGTTAGTTGTAGTTTGAATCAAACATGAATTAAATCCTTCACGAGAATTATACATGAGCTTGTCTACAGTCATGTTGTAACCTGAACTAATTTGGCCTAGTTCAGCTGCTGCAACTAGCATCGCTGCTGAGGGCAAATAGCTAAGCGACTGTAGTCAAATTAAGCTCTTAGATAGCGATCAAAAGCATGCATGCACATTTTTAAGAGCTTCTTGCCTGAATGACCTGCAGCCCTCGGCGAGGACAGAACACGTGACAGGAACTCTTGTGTACCCCTCTGGCGTTAATTTAGAGGGAACTTATCTCTCAATCCTACTGATGTGCACATGACTGCACTTGACCTTAAGGTGAGTTTCTGTTGATCAGAGTTACAGTTTACTGAATCTTCTTGCACTAACTGTAGCCAGAAGCCACAGAGGGCCTCCAGCTCACGCCACTGCTTGCTCGCTTGTCTGTGCACCTCCTGGAAGAGTCTCAAAATCCATGAGATCCCCGTCGGGGTCGGACAATCTATTTAAATTAATTAATTATTGTTATTTGGAATCAAACAATGTGCCCAGGATTTACTTTGGTCTGTGCACTTTTATGATACTTGTGTTTGAATATATTCCGACATACACAAATCCATTATGAGTTTCTAGAGCAGCATGTCTCTTTTTGTACTGTGACATATACTGGATACCTTAAAAAATGAGTAACAATCATGCAAAAAAAAAAAAAAAAAAGTCTCATGTTGGGTAAGTTGCCTGAAGCGAAGTCACATCATAATGTCAGATCTGAGCGGCTGTTCCCTGGTCTCATGATGTGTGCTTAACAAGGGATTTAGCAGTCAATTTATCCGTCAATAGAGAAGCAGTTAGTGTGACAATCCTTTATCACATGTAAAAAAGGACGGGATCAAGATTTAGGCCACTATATATTGTGAAAAGGGATGAGAGTGGGCATGGAGCAGAAAATCTTGTTCAAATATTATGTGTAACGTGCTGTAACTACGGTGACATAACCACGATGGTTTAATAAGGTTCAAACCTGCTGTGATTCAGAAAGTTATAAAAAAAAAAAACCAACAGCTTCTCGCTTTACAATAACTTAAAAACTAAAGATCTAGAAAGCAAAGTGAAGTCTTAATTACAGGCAGCATGACCTAAAGACCAAACTCACTGCAAACACTGGGTTTTGAACTACAGGTCGTTTTCCTGGAGTTGTTTTTCCTGCAACTGACTCTTCGATGTCGATCGCTGCACACATACAAAATGATGTCTCCCCTTTCGATGACTTTTTTTAGGCCTGATAGGGGAGGGGCTGAACAAACTGGACGGTGGGGGGAGATTGTGGCCGAGCAGTTGGAGGAGTTCTTCTCATAACGCGGTGATTAGGAGATGTTGTGGGAGAGAGTCCAAGGCTCACTGGCAAACAGGGACGTGACTCTCTGCATGGGGCTAAGCCTGCAGCCATACACGACTCAGGCAAAGTCCCAGCTGTGCAGCTAACCGCCGCTGACGACACGACCCCGCCCACTCTCCTATGGGAGGCTACAGCATGCAGGAAATAAAAGAGGGATTTGTTGGGGCATCTGTGACTCAACTCACAAAACCTCAGTAAATAAGATGACAGCTCAGACTTTGGTAATGTTAAAGGCAGGCGGCAACCAGTCAGCAAAGACGGGCAAACATGTAAAGTCAGTGAAAGATAAGTGAAAATATGTCACACTGATATGAGCATTCTCATAAGCAGAGGGTGTTAATTTCTGCTTGAGTTACACATAATTGTTACCATGAGTACCGATGAGTCAGTATAACTCACAATTCGGGGCGGCTCATTGAGCTGGGTGGCAACTGATAGCATCCGCCTGCAGCTACAAAGCCTCCCTGTCTGCTCAATTTCACTTCGCAGGGCTCAAGTTCATTGACTTTGCCGGTTAAATAAAGTGTAGAATTGGTTCCTGAAGCGTGACGCTGGCCCAGTGAACTTTGCCATACTGGCCGTCAGGTCTTTTTCTGTCTCGGCTTGTCAGCTGCTCTGTGACAACACTGTGGCCTGTCACTTGCCAGCGACTTTGCCTGTGGTCAAGTAGGGAAGCCAGGCAACTGAGGAGCACGTATTTGACAAGAAGCACAAAGGACGTATGGCACAGGTCGTGTTCCAGCCGGAAGCATGACAATCTAAAATGATTCAAAATACTCTTTAAAAAAAAGTGGTCACCACAATTTATTTTGTCGCTACTGATAATAAAGTCCATCCATCTAAGCAGGTATGGGTTTGATAACTATTGGATGATTTTTTTCTACTGATTTTGGTAAGGCAGTTGTCTCCCATTAAAATTTCCAACTTCAGTTTATTATACATGGTTCCACAGGGAGCCATATTTCTAGAAGCTTTCTTCACGCTTTGATCCGAAGCCTTTGATCCGAGGTCTTCCCAGCTGCTGTATCGCCGGTTGCCTGTGCATTCATATCTCCATGCAGATGAAGCAGTAGCAGATTCCTGTGACAAATCACAGCCAACTCCTTTTACATACCATACTCTGGGTGTGTCTTTTGGGGCATTACATTTGCTGCCCTCAGGTAAACTGTTCTTGATCTTAATTTCAATCTTGAACATTAAACAAGCATTGCGAAGGCTTCTATAACAGTTTGTTTTTTAGCGGGGAGAAAAGTTCTAGATTATGGTGAAAGTAGTATAAAAGGTATCTAGCACCGTAAGTAACTCCTGTTCTGAATTTTTAGAAACACAGGACATATTTGGCAAAGGGGTGTAAGAAATGAATAGAGGCAAGACACAGAGGTTTCCCTTAAAAACTAATTTCTGCTGATTATAGAGGACCATATCTATTGAAAATCTAAGTTTGGACAAGAACTATACTTTAGTGCTGCTGGCTGCCTCTCACACCCATGAAATAAACCTTTCAGTGACTAGTTCAGTGATAAAACGCCAGTGCACTGCCTTTCCTGGTCTCAGTCGCTGTCTGCTTGCAGGGGTACAGTCACTGACAGGACGGGAAGTGGTGGCTGAATATTTTCCATTGTTTGGTATGGAGTTTTTGGCTGACCTCGTTCCGAGCCAGAGCGGAGAGTGGCAAAGTGACAGAAAAGTGCAGAGAGGCAGCAGAAGAAAAAAAAACAAAAAAACCCCAAAGATGGTTGTTAGGCCTTAAATAAATAAGCACAGTCTTTTGGTAAGAAGCCATAAATAGGGACGAAACTTTTCTTTTCTTCTCACTTTGAGTAGCTTCAAGTGCAGGGCTCCGGTCAACATGTGCTTCTCAGCTGTGTTCATGTTTCACAGCTCTACGGTAAAAAAGAATGTGGGTGAAATATTTTAACATGTTAAACATAGAGGCTGACTCAGATGAAAAGTACAGAGGCATGACAGTGTGAAAGTTCAGTACGAACCAGCTATCCCACCTCACCAGAGTGCTGACCAGGGGTCGACTTGTCTCATCCGAGTTAAATGCTTCTTCAGCGCTTACAAGACTGACATGGGTAAAGCTACTAATTAAAAAGCTTAAACAGAATGAGAGGGTGGTGATTACCAAAATAACGGCTTGCGTTTTCATAGATTTCAGCATTTTTCTTAAAGAAATCCGGTGAGCAGCATCTGACTCACAACGGCATGGTGCAACAAGTTCAACAAAGGGTTATGAAAGGGAAGACTATTTCATAAAGTCACACACACACTTAAGGATAATCACATAATTACAACAAGCATTTTTTGAAATAACATTGTCTGGACGGTCTCACTGAGTGAAGAAGACAAGTTCAGGCACTTGCGACAAATCCAACCGGATTCGGCGATAAGTCAAGGTGCCATCTGTTCGACACCGTTGTTTTAAACGCGTGAATAAACTGTTATCAGTCGACCCAATCACAATGACTCACGTCCGTTTCCTTGCAGAAGCGTTGTGAGACATTGCAGGAGGTGATGGGCAGAATGTGGTTCTATGCTGACGAGAGGAGACACTCGAGGCGAACTCGAAAAAAAGAAGAGGAAGAAGACGACAGAGGAAGCGTTTGACAGAATGTGAAAGCGGACTTCAAAGCAAAGAAGGAAACTGAGGTTCTTACAAAACCTGCACATTTCTTAGCCGACGAACGGAAAAGAAAAAAAGAACTCGCTTTGCCTGTGTGAATGTTAGATTCCTTTTGCAGAACAGATCTGACCTTAGTTGGCTTTCAGAGCAGGTCGTCTCCGCTTACTTGTTTAGAGCGTGTAAATAAAACACCCTAACCGCATGAATATATTACAATCATAGACGATCACTTTTATCTTTTGAAACTTCTGCCGGATGACGACCTGGTGCCTCTGTGTTCAAAAGGTACATACCATGTGAACAAAGCATCTCAAACTCAAACTTGTGCTTGTTTTTTTTCGTGCTGGTGCTGCTGCTGATAGGCATCATCACTTAGCGACTGCTCTGCAACTCAGCTGTCGATACAGACATGCCAAAGATGTACAAGAAGGTCTTTAACATATCTCATTGAAATGTTTGTAGTTTTAGTTGCTGACATTTTGTTCCAGGAGTCTCCAAAACCTCTGATTGGTCTGGCCCTAGTGTCAATACCCACTACTTAGATTACAGAGGTGTTCATTAACAAAAACATATCATTGATAAGTGAATCTGAGAATTAGTCCTCACAGTCATAGCTGAGGAATCCTGGCATCTTATATTTTCTATGCTGCTACAACTGGCTCGGCTGCAGATTTCACTTCATCCTAAAACTGATTTATCTCGTTGCATGCAAACCTACACACAAGAGACTCGCACCCCCCATGGGAAGAGGACTGTGAAGGACTGAAGAACAATAGGTAGCAGTGATTGGTTATTGAAAAGGAGACTGGGAGGGGAAAAAAAAAAGAAAAGCTCCCAGACCCTGGAGACGCAGAAGGGAAGCCAAACATGAGCTACCCCCTAAAATCACTAATTCACTCTTTCTTCTCTTCAACTCTTTCAGCCAATCCCACACTGTCATACCACCACACACACACACACACACAGACACACAAGAGCAGAGAACAGATGAAGAGTCACAAGCACCAGTGAGCCAGATCAGTCGAAGAAAAACCATTGAAAGCAGGCGAGAGCGCAGAGAGAGGATGGATGACTCAAACGCAGCTGCCTGCCATGCTTTCCACACATCCTCATTACTCACTATGCAGACATCTTGGGCTCCGGGGGGCCCGAGACACTGAAAACTTGTTGTTCAACTTTTGCTTCTCACTCTGGGAGACTGAATGACTTGACACACGGCTCAACGTTTTCTACAGCGACCGGCTAGCTTGTTCAGAGCCGATGCATTTATATCCCACAGACTTCCAGCCGACTCTCCTCCATTCCTAAAGACTAAGCTCTGATCTGTGGTCAGCCTTAATAGCCTTCCTCCACAAAACGGCACTGCCCTAGAAACGCTGAATCACCTCAACACTGCATTAACCCCAGATGATCTGAATTATCCCCATTTACTTGCTCTGAGATACATTTTTCACTCATTACCAAGATTTATCCTCCACCATCAGCATTAATATGACAGCAAATCAGAAAGACAGCAAGATATGCGGCAGAGGTTGTCCAGAAATCGTAGCATCTAACACTTGCAAAAAACTAAACAGAAAAAAAAAACAAGGTCCATTAATAGACTGAGAAACTTTTCTCTTTTTCACTTCCCTAATTTTGTATCAGAATATCTGACTTTACGGTAAACCAACAGACAGAGACAACAAAATCGGAAATGTGCGAGTGGCCTCTGAAGGAGGAAGGACTCTGAAGCGTCACAGTTGTCAAAAAGTGTATTTTCTTTTAATCACACAAAAGCATCTTAATACCAGAAGGCTCAGTGTGATTTTAGTCTTATCCATGCTGTGAAAGCTATCTTTTGGCCCGCTGTCTAAATTTATTTCCCACAGCTGAAAGCATTGAAAGTCACAACCATGAAAGATGCAAAACTATGAGTCTCTAAACAGACAGACCTCCAAAGTGGCGTTGCAGTGCATCGATACCAGAAAGGTATCACAACATCTTAGCATTAAAAACAGCACTATACACTGCCTATTGTTGTTAAAGAGTCTTCAGTGTTTTAATAGAAGCTGTATTTCCTGGGTTGCATCCATGTGTGACAGCAGGGCAACGTGTGTGTGTGCAGCGCTCTGCTTCCACTCCCTGCAGGCATCGTGGGTGTGCCAACCGTTTCTTCTCTCACTCATGAGCACGCTGCAACTTTTATTGTAACGAAACGAGAGGCATGGCTTCACAACACGAGTGCTCTTGCCAACCGTCCACAGATTGTCCACAAAGCAAAATATGGCATTATTTCACTTACACGGCCAACAGTCGGGGCCCGCGGACACCGCAAGGTCCGGCCGTAAAAGATGTTCTAAACCTACGCAAACCAAAGGAGCCGACGTGCTCAACTTGGCGGAGCATCTCGCTGACAGACATGCCGACTTGTTCAAAAGATTCAAAGAGTGACAGGTGAGCGAATTACATAACTGCATCAGGCCCATGACCTTAAACACAAGTCAAACAAGTGATTTATTTCCTGGCAAACAAACGTTTTTCACCATCAGTTTGATGAAGCAACTGCAGGCATTGATAACTGTTTAATAGATTGTTATCTTTTTAGCCAGCTTGCCAATGTGGCAAACATTTCTGTATGCCAAAAAAAGCATTCACTATATATTATAATTTACCAGCTGAAAAAAAAACAAAAATAAATTAAAAATCGTTTACCAGAATGCAGACCAACAACCGCAGTTATAAATCTTCAACTGAACTCCTGCAGAAACAGTGAAAGTGACTAAAACGTTCACTAAAGCTATAAATGCAGTAATCTGTGCAAAGATTTATCCTTTCATAAGCACCAGTGTGACACGTAAAGAGAGACGACAACATGCAAACAGTTGATCTTCATTAAGAGTTGCTCTGGCTGTGGTAGAATAAGAAAATGTTTGAACACACTGTGATAAAACAAATCACTCCTGTTTTATGCCTTGCACTGACATTTTCTGTCTTCTGTTGTTCTATTACTTTTCTTGATGCTTTAGGTTTTTGCTGTGGTGTTGGTGTTGATATATTTCAGGCGGAAGTCGTAATTTTGGTCATCTGTACAACATTAGTTTTAGTGTGCAACATGCTAAAGACGTGCGAACATGTTGTAGAGTGAAAACCACTTGCATCATTTTATTTTTTTTTTTAACATTTCTATCTTATTGATTATTCAGCCAATTATTTTCCTCATAAATCAATTATATATCATTTTGTCCATAAACTGTGTTTTCCAGCCAACAGTAAAAACTCAAACGACAGAGTTTTCTATCACACATGAAAGCAGCAAAACCTTTTAATTTTTTAAAATTCCAGAAATAGCTAATAACAACAACAACAGATATCGACTGTTGTGTACAGTAAACTATCGAAGCTCATTCTATTGTCTTAAGCAACAGCAGAGCTGGAACACTGCAGCTTCATAACGTGACACGGCTCAGTACGTCTGGTAACTCGTCAGTCCGGCTCGAGATAGTTTTCTTGGACAAATACGAATGACTGACAAGGTCCGCTTAGCTGTACGTCTTCAACAAGGAACTGTGATCTCTAACAACTCTTCTTTTCCTTCTCATTACTATGTTAGCAAATCAGAACTCATAAGGCATTTGTTCTGTTTTTTTGCAGATTGGAAATGAGGTTCTCTGTTCTGAGGGCTATGAGTGTAGCTTTACAGGCTTCACATGAGTTGATTTTCTGTTTTGCATTAAACCAGCGGTTCTCAAACCTTTTGAGCCACGACCCTCAAGATAAGTTTGTGTTTGTGACCCCCCCAATTTGAATTTTTAATATAGCATGAGTAATAACTTTGTTGTTCATGCATTAAAAATTAATGTGTTAATTCCACAGATTAATCTCTTTACATGAGCACATTCATTTTCTTTAAAATGAATGAATGAATGTATTTTGAACAAATGAAAGGGAAAAAAAAAAAAAAAAAAAAAAAAAAAAATTTTAAAAAAAAACAAAAAAAAAAAAAAAAAACCCAAAAACAAAACAAAAAAATAAAAAAGTCAAAAAAAGAAGGGGAAAAAGAAAAAACTTTAATTTTGAAAACCCCAAATACACATTTATTTGATAAATGTGGGCTTTTTTTTCTTACACAATGATCTGGCAACCCCCTGAAATTATCTTGGGAGCCACAGTTTGAGAACCACTGCTTGAGACTAATTTAAGAGTTTTAAAAAAGACTGACTTTACAGACCATTTAAAATATCCCTGCTTAGTCATCTTGTTGGATGGAAATATTTCCCAAGCTGAGAAAGCACAACTGATGAGTAAAATAAAGACACACAATCCTAATATATTCTTGATTGATCAAATGCAGACCAGTGATCAGTGAGCTGCTAACATCACAAGCCAAGGTGACTGCACAGCCACTGGAACATTGCACAATCACTCGGTTCAGTGTAGCCCCCTCCCTCCTCCTTCATGTGGCATGTACAGACTGGTAACAAGGACCTGTCAACAGACTGTCCCTTTATTCAGAAAGGAGTTGGAAGAGACTTAAAATGCTGTAACCACTTAAAAAAAAGAGGTCTAACCTGTTCTGTGTTGAGCCCATTTTGGACAAGACAACAAACACCAGCAGTTTAGACACATTGTCCTCATTCCTGGAACAGCCTGCAAAAAATACTCTGCGGCTGATTCAATTGCCTTGCTTCCAGTACAAACTGAGTTAGCTACAGTGGGCCGCCAGGAGCGTGGTTGTTTACTTGCCTTGGCAGATCCACTCTAATTGGAAGTGATCCCCTGACCACATCTTGCTGAGATAACAGGGTGGGTCCTGCTATGCTAACTTATTCCACCACTTTGCCTCTCACCACAGGCCTCTTTGGATCTTTATAAAAAAAAAAAAATAGACAAATATAACAAAACGGACATGTTTTAAAATCAAACACACTTCACTGTACCATCACAAAAAAGGGGAGATTGTTTTATAAGCACTGTGAGGGTAGTTCCAGGAGACCTGATTAAAAGCCAAATCTGGTCGGTTATTACGCTTGTAAAAAAAAAAAAAGCGTGTGATTGCTCAACACCTAAACTTCCACTGCAAGTTTAGAGCGAGGAGAAGTACAAACTGAGGCTTCTAATGAAAGAACAGCTCACTTAAAAAGTTAATTAAAGCAGAAAAGACAATGGTGTTGGTGGAAAACAAAAACAGCATCAGCAGTTTCGAGGAAGTGTGTGTGTTAACAGTTACAAGAAACAGAGCAGCTTCATTAGGCGGAGACGGACGGACGGACGGACGGGGGGGCAGGGTCAGTGGTCTCGCCCAAACACAGAGCTGTTGCAAACCCCCGTGTGCTCAAGCTGGAGCCCGGGGCGTCCCACAATCACAGCCATTCAGGGCTCCTGGAATATGTCCCTTGGAAGTTCAGGCAGGTCAGCTATCTGTGGAAAATAGCTGCTGCCTTGTTTCCAGGCACTGCAGCAACCAAACTACAACCCACACACACACACACGCCCCATCCCAAACCTGACTCCCTATCCCAGCCTGTCCTCGCTCCCTCCCCTCCCTTTGTGTTAAAACTGCCAAGAGGTAAAATAGAAGAAGGCACCACAACACAAGTATTGATCACATGCACCTTAAGACGACAAATAATCAATGGAGACGAGCATTCTAAAAGAAAAGCAAAGGGTAAAATGGATTTTTTGATCCAATTTCACTGTCCTATAAACCTTCAAAAGCCATAATATATTTTTGGACAAACCAGACCAGGTTTTAGTAGGTGTTGAAGTACACCAGTTAACAACAAAGCCCTTTGACAGTTCACTGTCAAAGTCATGAGCAACAGCAGAGCAAAGATCCTTCTCCTCTCAGGGCTCAACACTAATGACCGTCCTACTTAGCAGATGACTTTTAAACAAACAGCAACTGTTTCTCACCTGCCTCAGCCCCCGCCAAATTACTGAAAATTGCAAATACACATACTATAAGTAGTATGTACCCACTTACACACTGCAGACAACGTGTGATTAACTTAAGACTTTGTAAATGTGGAACAAAGGCTTTAACAGTCTGTTTAAGACTGACGACAACAGTCAAAGGAAACAGAGACAAACAACATTAAGTAGAACGCAAATCAGATTTAGGGCTGGAGAAATTACGACAAAAAAGAAATTATTCTTTGGTTTTCACAGCCATCTATAACTGCTCACTGACAGGTAAAATAATAGCTTTGTGACACAGTATAGTCAGCTGAGAACCATTTAGGGATACCTTCTAAGCTCCTGCTAAGCTTTAAGTAAATCCAGTGTTAACTCATATTTGCTGGCAGTTGCTTTAACGTCTGCCGTGAGCATTAAAGGCTGACATTTCTTCACAAAAACGGCTCACCACTAACTGGATATCACCGTTGTCCTGACTGCCACCAGAAGCTGATCTTAAGTTGGAGGTGCACGACTCACAAGTCCCACCAAGTTGAACTCCCTCTCCCTCTGCTGCTGACCTTTCACAAAGCTTTCAATCTGATTGCAAGTTTATGTGACATTCAATGTGTGCGAGGAAAAATTCATCTTGTGTGTATTTGAGTTTCCACAATTGCACGGTGACATCATGTGTCAGCTATCGGACAAGTCGAGGAGGCCTGTAAATTTGGCAGCTGGTTTCTTTGCTCATGTTGGCCCAAGTTCATTGACTTGTTTGCTGATAAGAGCGGCAGCCTTTTAATCTGGCGGAAGCAAACTAAAGTTTATAAAACCACGCTTGTGACAGTATGGTGGCAGGTTCAAACCCCCATAACACACGAGAACAGTAACCTTCACTCTTGCGTTTCATAGTCGTCATACCGCAGCATACCGTGTTGCTCACAAGCATGCCTGTGTATGCACGCACAAAGGTGAGGCAGCACACTTTTACACAAAAAAAACTGAAGGTGTAAATGTACTTGTGATCTGCTCATCACCCACGCAACGTATTCTCTTACTACAGCAATACAGACTAGGTTAGAAGTCTATTTAATCTTTCATCAGGCTTCACCTGAGGGCAAACATTTATATTTAGCGCAGAAAAAAAGAAATCTAAACAGTTTTTCAAAAAGACTGGTCCACTGACACTGCCTCAAGAAAAGTAGCAACCAATAGTTTCAGGTTGTTGTGCAGAGGAAGGTGTGCAGACGAAACCAGCAGAGTAATGAAGTGAAAGGAAATGAAAAGTGAGAGCGTGTAGTGGAGGGGAAAGTGACAAAAAGGCAGGTTATCACCCCCATAGAAGAAAAATCCAGGAAATGATTAGTATTTGTACAGGTATCAACAGAGCAAACGACTCAGCATACAAAGAGTGATATATTACAAAACATCCTTCCCATATAATCAATCTTTTCGACAAATTTGCACAAGTATTTAGTAGTGCCTTAGATGTGCACAACTTATTAGTAATCAATCATTCATCCACAGTCATATATCAATCAGAATATCCACTTTGATTTATGTTTGGTTGTTGTGCTTCCTTCCAATAAAACTGAATAATAAATAATAAACTGTGGAACAGAATTAACCACCGATTGCATTCCCTCCTACTGTATAATTAAGTCATCATTGCTAGGCTGCTCAAGAATATGTAATCAATTATGGATTTGTAATTAACATTCCTAATCGAGGCAGCGAGGTGGTCTGCAGTGGGAAAAGTAATTGAGTTGAGGACCAAGTGCTCCTATTGAAGGAAACCAATTTGTCCCAGGGGCAGCTTCATCACTTTATTTGGCAGCGATGCAGCGCGCCGAGCATAAACGCTAACCATTCCAAGCTGAGGGGAAATCATTGTCATCTCAAAACTCCACCCCCACAATGCTTTGTTCCACTTTTTTGCGATGCACTCTAATTCAAAACAGAACAATGAAACTTTGGACGGATTCCTCAGCCAGACTGAGCTCGCACACAGAACAATGCACTGCTGCCAAGAGAAGCAAGTTTGAAAATCTATGTCCTGTCATATTGGGGTGTGTTCCTTGAAATATGTCTTTTGTTGTTTTTTTTTAATCCTCATGGAGATTTACAAGAAAGTTATGAGTTAACAAGGCATTTTAATTACAGCTGATGATAGTTAAAATTATGCCCATGACTGCCAACTTGCCTTTGGGCCCCACAACCTCACTCACAAAGGTTTTGAGGCTTACCAAAATGTAACATGTGTTCGTATATAAGTGCATATATGAGGCAGGCTGAATCCATATGAATCGTTTCAGAAGCAACAACAATATCTACAAACGTACAGCTGCAGGGAGCGACAAAGGAGGTTAAAGTCAAGGCCTGTCGTACTGCTCCATATAGTAAGTTACTTGAATATTTTAAAAGTTTAATCAGTTTCTATCAGTCCTGCAGCATTGCACTTGCTGTGAAGTTTGCTACATTCAATATGAAACCTTCCTTCTTGTAATAATTTTTACTTACATTTCAAATATGTCAAAAATATTGTGACAACTGGACAACAACTTGTGTGTATGTGTCGGATCGGCCACAGTCTCGTGCTTGGGTTCACAGTTCAGGCCCCAGCGGTAAAAGTTTTTTTGAAACAATATTTATAAATGGCAGAAATTATCCTTGACTCAGACATGTCGTAATTAAACTGAACTCGCATAATGTCAGGTGAAGTACTCAGAACTTTCACCACATTTGTTCAAATACCATAAAAGGTAACACATTCATTAAAGATGCCAATTGATGCTCTCATATCACTCAGCAACTGTATGAACATGTGACAAGAGCAGAGTTTTACCAAATCTATAATCTCAAGGTAAAACGAGGGAGTATGCCGAGAACAATAAGGACACGAATGCCTCACAAGTGACGAGTCAACAGTAAGTTAAGCTGATGTTTCAACATGGACTAACTAGACCTTTAAGTCTGAGAGGCAGAGCAGAAAGCAGCCGTCATCCAGCTGATTCAGTCTGGCCATGTCATCGCTGCTACAGACAGAGCGGCTTACGGGCCTGATATCGCTGCCACGGGTGTGTGTGTGTGTGATGTAGGTGTGTGTCTATGCTGCCGTCTGTCTGTCCTCTCCACCTCCCTGACACGTCCTGTCCTGTCCTGCTGCCAGCATCACCATAGCTACGCAGACAGCCACAAATGTCACTCCTTTTTCTGGCTTTCAAACATACACACAAACACAGGACTGGGGAGATGACTGTTCCTTCCTAAAATCAGGGACAACACACACTGTCTCTACCCTGTACAGATTATCAACCCACGTCTGATGCTGCCGGAATAAAGTCTCTTGGTAAACAATAATTAGCTTCACATGTATCTGGAATGAAGGCGATAAAAATCAACTCTACACGTCCTAAAATGCACGCGCACACACACACACCTCCTCCTTCTCTGGCCGTATCATTCACAATATGCACTGAAGAACAGAACAGAGCACACTGATAAACACTGAGGCCTACATAAATACAGGACAGACTATGCACGTGTGTGTATGTGGACACCAGCACTCATCAAGGTTATTCTTGGCTCAAACATCACCTCTCCTGCAGCATTGCTTGCTTGGAATGGCAAAGTGTGGCAACATTTCAGCTCAAGCTCTGCGAGGGCCATTCGACAGGCCCTAAAATAGAGTGTGTACATTAGAAGAGTACTGTAGGCAAGTGAAGAGTCTGTATTTACAAGGCTGAAAGTTGGAAGACTGGGAAAACTGCCCAAGGCGAGTATGCAAGCCGTCTCCTAGACGGGCAGGGGAATAAAAACCAGCCGCTCACATCTGGGGAGTTATTCTCCTCTCAGCTACAAAACACAGCTACTGCGTGTGTTGTAACTTATTCAAGGGCTTGTTAACATCCAAAAGCCCAAACACTCTGTTTGGTTGAATGGGAATTTGAGGGAGGTGGGTGTGGATGTCTAAAGGGACGAGTTACTATCCAGTTTTGTGGGTTGCCTATTAATGACAAAGAAAATTCCTCCTGTCTCTGCCGGTTTTCATTCGCTCCCTAACTCCTCTTCCACCTTCCTCCTTATCTACACTTAAAAACCTAACAAAGAAATAAATTTGGTTTGATCTATTGTTCTTTGAGTACAATCCAGTACTTTTAGTTACAGTGTTCTTTACTTGGGCACTGGTGGTGAGGGAGAGGCGTGATTCACAGTGTAGAGTATGACCACACTGCTGCAGAATGAAACAAGAATGCTTAGTATGAAGGCAAACTTCCAGACACACACTTACTACCTCCAACAGTCTACCAGTGATGCTCCAGGCAAACACCTTGGCTTCCCCCCTGCCATAAACTCTAGCAGACATTCACACTGTAATATTGCATTATTGATCTCCGACTGCTGGAAGAAAAAAAAAAAAAGAAAAAAAAAGTAAACAATATCACATTCTCATAGGCATTACAGCTTCTTACCTGTCGTCATCCACATCCATGGTAATATGGATGCCAAACAGACTGTTGACCGCAGGATTGGGCAGACTGAGGCCCTCACTGATGAGAGGCTTTACACCATCTTTGCCAGGAACCACACCGACAATGTGCTGAGGTATGACATCAGTCTTCTGCCTACTATCTTCTGCCTGGTTGCTGAAGCCGGAGGGAAGTCCTGTTGTTACTCCTCCGTGAGCTCCCTGGGGCTGGACAAGTCCACCTGTGCCAGGCGCCTGACTTGGCACACCTGGAGGGGTGTTGGTTGTGCTGGGCACTGTGGCAGGCACGTTCTGGCCACCGCTATGGGAAGTGGTGGTGGTGACGGAAGGTGCAGGGGCAATGCCTAACCCTCCTGAAGGCTGAGTCTGGCTGACAGGCTGCTGCTGTCCACTTCCTGGAAGGACTGGGGCCATGGCTGATGCACTGCCCACCTGTAGCAGGAGACCCTGCACTGAAGGTGTTTCTACAGCCAGCGCCTGTGCTCCTGGACCAGCAGGGGTGATTAGAGGCGGGGGTACCTGGCTGGCTGGAGGCCCCACGCCCAGGGAGGTCATGGGTAGATTCTGAGGGCTTGAACCAAAGTGGTGCTGATGATAGTCTGGGTGGCCAGATGAGAGGCCAGTGGGATGAGCAGAATAGGCAAATGGCTGGGCCTGCGTGGCAGGAGGTACAATGGGGGACTTCTGCTGCATGGCACCTGGGTGCACACCATTGAGGCTGTTGGAGAGGAATGTGTGGGGAGCAACAGGCTGCATGTTGACCTGAGCCTGTTGTGGTTGCTGTGATGCTGACGCTGTATACCCTGTGGGCTGGAAGGCACTTGCTCCGCTTCCTATCTGAGGAACCAAGCTGTAGCCTTGCTGCAGAGACTCTGAAGGGTGAGTTTGGGCGGGGTGCCCGACAGAGACCGAGTAGCCACTATCCACGGTGTTCTCTGAACCTTGTGCAGAAAAAACACTGCTAGTGATGACAGAATTACTGGTGGCCCCGAGTCCACTGTCCCTGTCTATACTGTGATCAAGGGTTACAGTTGGCTTTATGCTATCCACAGTCCGATTAACATTTGAATCTGAATCTCTCTCATAGAACTCAGTGCATGTCCACCTGCCCCGTCTGAAGGGCTCACCGGTACCATGGTCAAGTTTAATGACCCTGAAACGGGAACTACAACTTGTGCTTGCAGGAGTCGTATGAGCCACACTGGTGGAGACTGTGGCAGCAGGGACTGAGCTTGGAACAATGGGCTGAGTTGTAGCTGGCACAGGCGCACTTCCTCCTACATTATGCGGGGTGACACGACCAGTGCCTAAACTTTTATAAGAGAGTCCCCCGTTGACAGGACCCGTGTGAGGCAGCTGGCTCTCCTGAGGCTCTCCTACGTTGTTTAAGGTTTCCTCGGATGAGCTCCTGTCACACACCCCCAGGTCGGTCCGAGGAACGTCAAATATTTCCGACGACACGTCCTCTGTCCGGGACTCGTCCGGATCCTCCAGGCTCTCGGTGTCGTCGGGGATGCTGCTGGCCGCCACCTGAGCCTGCGTTACACTTGTGATCTGGAAACAACTTTTCTTCTTTGCTGGCATTTTCGACATGTTGACTATCTGCGTCAAGTCTGTCAGACTCCCAGATGAAACAAAGTGCCGCACTACTGTCTTGCGAAGTAATTCACAGTTGAGGGATATGAAATAGACACGTACCGTCACAGGACATTTCCATACCGTTCCTCTTTCTTTCTCTTGTCCAAGAAAAGTGTCACAACCAAGGCCAGACGGGGCCAAACTCCCGAAACGTTCCGCGGTGTCCGGTCGCGGTACACGGGCGAAAGCTGGTCTCTTCCTCCGGCCTCTCTAACACCCGGTCGGCCTTCCTTGTGTCCCGGCAGCGGAGTTGCAAACAGGCCCTTGTCAAAGTTCTTGTTCAGCAGCTGCCACCGGTACTTTAGTCTGAGGCGGGCCCGGTCTCTAAGCCCACTCTTCCCTCTCAGCTATATGTATTTCTCACCAATTAGCCAAGTTAGCCGCTGTTAGCTAGTTTTCCCTACCTCGGCACCAGCATGTGCGACATCATGATGTAAACAAATTCCTCGGCTTCTCAAAAATAAAATATAGTCCAACAGTAGACAGAGAAAACGTCTAAAAGTCGGTGAAGTTTGCCTCTCGCAGAGTGGACAGCTCACTTTTGGCAGCTGCTGCTAGCAGCTAGCTGACATATAACTACTTCAGCACCAGCACAGAGCTAACGGACAGCTAACTCCTGCTGCCGCTCTCAACCAACCACTCGACAAGATGGCAAGAGCGAAGTGCATCCTGGGTAAGGAGGTCAAACTACTTTTCTGTCAGCTCAAAAAAAAAAAAAAAAAAGCACACACACAAGCACACACACACACAAAAGCCAGACCACAAACTCCCACCTCGTGTGATGCCTCTGTATTTATTTTAATTTGTAAAAGTTATTTTTATTTCGCTTTAAAATATTTTTACTGCCGTCGTCACTTCTGGTTGACGTCACTGCCGGTAAAGGCAGACAGACGTCGCCAGGCGTTGAAAGATGTCAGAGGTTTACTGAGAGAAATTGCTTTAATTTAGAGATTTTTACAACATATCCCACAGTTTAAAGTTTGTATTTGGTATATGTATTTATATAAATGCACGACTGCATTTATCAAATGAAACAGCCGCTTTTTAAATCGTTTAAACTTGCTCGAAACACGTTTTTTAGGCATCTTTTTTTTTTTTTTTTTTTTTAAACTGGCCGTTGTTGTAAAATGCAGTTTCTATCGGGGATTAAAGCGTGAGACATTCATTCTTAAAAGGTTTAAAGCCACTGCTGAGTCCAGTCGGCTGAGTCACGTCAGGAATTGTGTATGGATGAATCACTTAATTCCGGAAAATCTTAGAGCTCATGTGGTATTCAGAAAGAAAAAAAAAACTTCCTTACTTGGCATATTGCTGCCTAACTTAGTCAATCTACTGAAGTACTAATGTGCAACTGCTTGTACTTCACAACACTATTTCCATTACGATATAACGCTGACGGCAGCCAGGTCGAGAAGTTTTTCCATTGTGGTATTACAACTTTTACTTAAGGAAAAACTGAATGCATCTTTCTATTCTCTATTTTTTTCTATTTAAATACAACAGAATCTCTCCAAACACTTTGATTTGTCTTTTTTTTTTCTACCTTTCCTCTTTCCTTGAAGCAAATTCTAACATGTCGATATATTCCACATAAAATTGTGTAAAGATCAAATAGCACCTTTGCCAAGTGTGTGCTTCCTAGTGCTGAACAATTTGGGGGAAATCACTTATTGCAATTTGAAATATGAGTCAGTGTTTTTCCTGTTTGTTAGTCACGAGCACGCCCAGTGTATGGATAGACTGCACTTATCCGGGGAAAAAAATGTTCTACAAATCTGCATTGTGCAGTCTATGGCTTAAGGATATTAAGAAACAAGCTTTTAGACAAGTACGCCCAAGTATTTCATCTTCATATACAATTTCCAGCTGGTATTATCATAATAGAAATTACAGGTTCCTCGTGTCATCTGTCAGAGCAGCTTGTACGACAGACAGAAATCTCAGCACAGCATAGCATTTGGCTGGTGGCCAGCATTTCTATACAGTCATTTTTCATATCCAGTCACTCCAGGAAGCAGGAAATGCTTCACACATATGGCTCATGGCTATGGTGACCCCTCAAGGTAAATCACAACACAAACTATATTCAATCATTAGAAGAAATGGCACTACTGCAGTGTTTACAGCATTTCGCAATTTGGACTGTATTTTTTTTTCTTTTTTTTTTTTTATGTGATTTGTCATTAGAGGCTACGTGACCCAAGGGATGTTACCTGAGAGATAAATGTTATTCTTGGGAAACAGCTGTGAAGGAGTTTCCTCTGAATAGCATCTGAATAGATCTGGTCTGAGCACTGAAGCTGTGCGGTTACAGCACCTGCCTTCAGTCGAGTTTTGTCCTGCTTTGGAAGGATTAAAAAGGTTTTACCATCACACTAAAATTGTGCTCTTCAATCAATTTCTTACTCCTCTGAGGACCAGAAGTGAAGGAAGAGGGTGGAGCAGGGTTGGGACATACATCTGAACCTCGCATCGCCTTCCTAACATACGTACGGCCCAGGTGATTTCACAAATCACACCTTAATTCATGTGACCACAGTGACTCATATGTGACCTCAGCTGCTCTAAGGTGAGTTTAGGGTATGAATGAAGTGCAGGTTTTAATGGCAGTAGAAGTGATGAAACCCTTTACATGAGAGGACACATTTTCAACTACACTTAGCAGTTGGACTTTTAGACACCAAAGTAGCTTATTTACCCGGTTTTATTGACACTGTATTAATAACTTATCCCTCATTGCAACTCATGTGCAATGAACGGATGACGAGAGGTTATTGCGTCAATAAAGCCAATGGAAGGCATATGCTCAACTGCTGGACAGTTTGTCACAAGATAAACACATGATAGAAAAAAAAAACAAATGGGTCATGATGTTGGCTTGTGTTTAAACAACATCAGCTGTGATCGCGGTAAAGTAGTAGTCCTGCTTTAAAGACCTCCTTATTCTTATTTTTAGATGCAGATAAAGATGTTTCTGTCAATAAAATAACTATTTTGTGCACAAATCATGAACAGTTAATCTGTTTTCAGTTGAAATTTGAAGCAATCCAGTTAGCAAATCCCACATGCTGCAGTTTAGGATGTAAATGTATCACGAAACATACCTGATGTAAGGTTTCATCTGTCCTGTCAGTGATTGTACAAATGTGTGTACATGCTTTTGGTGGTAGCTAATGCTCCATCACATTGTCTTAAACCTGAAAGTGAATATTTAACCAAAGTTTGAAAAAAATTAAATCGCAATTTGATATTTTCCTTAAGTATTCCACAGCCTCCTCAGAAGTATTGCAATGAAAAGTTAAAAACATCTCATAAAAAGTGTTTGAGGAGTTTCTGTTATATTCAAAATCAGTGGTGAAAGAACGATTTAGTTTTTCCTTAAATAGATTGTCAGTCATCCACGTCGTTTAAACCCACGAGCTTCAATAGAAAGCAACTGGACTTTTCTTTTTGGTTCTTCAGCCTCTCATCCAAGAGGCTTCATCGGTTGTCAGAACTGAACCAAAAAGAAAAGTCCAGTCGCCTTCTACTAAAGCTCTTGTTATCAGTGTTCAAAACCAAATCTGACATACTTTGTTCAAGCTTAAGATTGAAAAGTCCAGTTGCATACTCTTGTCTACAGATCAAGGTTGTCCACTTCTCCACCTTCTGTCTTTTATTCATCATCACAGAGTCGTTGCTTGTGTCTATGTGAGAAAGGCCGTCACAGCTAGTGTTTCCATGAAGTTTACTGAATCCGTGATGAACAGTGAGGCTGAAAGTTTGATTATAACATCTCTCTGTTTAACTGACTAATCATTGAATTACACCGTTTGTATAATGTCCGGGTGCCAACTCACAAGGTCTGTCAGACAAGTACAATTTCATGCAGCGCTCAGATAAAACAGAGGAGACGGAAAGCAACTCAAAACACGAGCTGCCGGAGCGCAGCAATCGATTACACAGTTGGATTTTTTAAATTCCTGCTGCATTTTGTAAAGGATGGGAAGAGAGAAAATGTCACAGGATTAGGACTTAATTAGTGGAAACAAGATTACTTATGTTGGAAACTACATGTTTTTAAAAATGTTTGAGGAGCATAGTGTGAAAAAGCTTCTCGGTTACTGTGATGAGAATACAGCTCATGTAATGTTGAGTAGCACACAGCAGAGGCCTTGAAATTGTTTCAGGATTAGATGTGTTTTTATTAGTCAAACATGGCTTTTTATTCCTCCTCTAAATGGACCTGGAAACAACTCCCTGTAAAAACAATGTTGCGACATCAGCTCCAGCTCGCCCTCTATACTTAGACTCCCTCCTTTAGTAGCGGGCTGTGCGTGGGCTTTCCCAACCCCAGCCAAAGTGTTTGTGTAGCTGGTTGTGTTTATTTGCTCTGGTCTGAGGGCGAAGACTACCAGGCTGTGCTGCGGCGCGTCACCGTCCGACCTGCTGGGTCCACTTTCAGCGTACCACCACAGCAACAAGACAGGCGTTGTGCCGTCTGTATTTCGGGGGCCTGGGGTCCTGGCCAGCGGTCACTTTCAGCAGCTCAACCTGGGAGACCTCTGGCCTTTAGCAAAGCATTGTGGGGTTGGAGAGCGAACGATCAACAAACAAGACTGACCAAACATCACTCAGCACTTGCTAAAAAAAGGGCTTCCCCAGGGAAAAGGGTACAAGGGGTTGGTTCAGGGCAACTTGACCAGCCTGAAACAGCAAAAAAAAAAAAGAAATATGCACGTGAACCTTGTGCATGGTTTCAGGTTTATTGGGCTCCATTTCCACAGAAACACACTTTGGCTTTTCAGTCTTGACCTACACCTTTTTTTTTTTCCCCCCTGCATGTCTGACTGCTAATAAAAGTCAGTGTTAAATAAAAACTTAATTCCCATCACGGGTGCGTTCTTCAAGGTGCAGCTGTGTCCCGTTTCATCCACATAAGCCACCCGTGAGTTCCAAATATACGCAATTCGCAGAACAAGCTCCGAGTTTAAGTCTGGTGTATTTCTGGAGATGATTGGTTGTGCTTTTCTGTCGAGGCGTGCGTGTTCATCATATTTCACTACCTCATGGATTCCTTCAGAAGCAGCCTTTTGAGGGGACTCATAGCTGAGTTATTACGCAACATCCTGAGATTATATAATACTGCATGTGAGTTAATCCAGAAAACGTACAGAGTCTAACCGTATGGACATTGTTTTGACACTGTTACAGCTCAGACACGTGAGTATTTTGGGGGGACTTCTTTTCAGACCATCCGTCCGTGTGATATCATGCTTATATAACACATGTTTCTGTTACCTGACAGGAACTCGCAGGAGAATGTAAGACCACCAAAGTAATCATCCACTTTCCTTTGAAGCTTTTGCCACAGCAGTTGAGACTAACAGTGAATATTCTGACTAATACAACGTCAACAGACGAGTAAGTCAGCGAGGCGTCACACAGGAATCATCTCTGATACACCTGCTTGTATAACATCTGCTCTGTCCAAGTCCCTCCACTGGCAAAAACAGGTTTACTGTAAGAATGGCTTATTCATCTCAAACCATCAGGGGCCTTCTGTTTGACCATATTTGGATTGCTTGACACTTCTTTTTTTTTTAATCATAAGCTATTGATAGTTAAAATGGCATCTGTGAGGTTTCAGATTAATATATCAAATACTGCTAACTGCCTGA